GGAGCCCTTGGCTGCACTCACCTGTGTATAGTTTATTTTCACAATGTTGTCTATTACTGTCAATAATAGAAACACTTATGAGTATTTCTGCATAATTATTTTTTTTTATCAACATGTATTTAATCCCACAATATGGGAATCTGAACTGCATGGGTTTAGGTATTGAAGACAAAAATGTATGTATTTATTTATTTTTTAAAGGCAGTTCAATGTTTCTGTATCACTGGAGATGTTTGAATCACAAAGCCCGTTTATGGCTAAATATGTCAATCATAGTTGACCTAGTGTAAGTGTGTCTTCACGTCAGTCAGATTTTACAAATGAAATAAGTAATATTTTAATCATTCAATATACAACAAATGAAATTTTTGGTTTACATATGATGTGATTCTATTGAAGATGTGCTTCTAATAGAGCAAATATGGTATATTTGATTTTGTTGTGAACTGAACTGAACTAGATTTCACACATTTTCTCTCAATGTTTTGATTGTGTCTTACACAGCCCATAGCCTGTGTTATTGCAAATTCCAATAGGCAGTTAGTTAATTGCTCTGCGTTGATCTCAGAACCAGCATTCAATGTATTACATGTTAGTGGATCTTGTAACAGTATCCCATTTCTATATGTACTGGTATTACAAGGTGCACCTCAGATATTTTTTTTTCAATTTCACATACTGATAAAGAAATGTTTGTTTCTGTTAACAGAGGATGTTTTGTCAATCCAAATCCAAGAGTTATGGGGAAACCAGGATTGTCATTGTATATTACAGCATATGACACGATGGGAGTGTGTACAAATTCTCAACAGTCGCTGGCTTGTCAGCTGTTGTATATATCTGGTAGCGTTGCTTATGTGTGGGCTTTTAATACAAAGACAAAGTTCAGCACCATCAATGTAGTGAAACCCATTGACGGTGCTGAACGCGATGATGCATGAAATGTAAATTTCAATTGATCTCACTGTGTTGACGCTTGCATTGTGGAATACGGAAAAAGAGACAAAACATGCGCACTGCGTACACAAAGTGTTAATACTAGTAAGCTTTAACAAGGTTATGACATACACATATTATTTGAAAGTGAAATTATTAATAGAAAGCATTTAGCATGAACGGCCTGAATCACGTATATTCGGTCTTGACCCCCCACTCTGTCTATTGTGGTTATTTATAAAACTGTAAAACGCTTTCTATCATACTCAACTGGTCACCAAATTTAACAACTGCTTTCTCCTTTTACAATGCAATCTAAATGAGCTACGGCAAGCCCAAAATAGGTTCCGATTGTATACAGCGCCACCAGTGGCTGTTCCCGGCTCCATGCGTCCAGCTTTAAAACATGTATTCGAAAGCATTATTTGGTAAATGTTGAACATACATCTTGTTGTAGTATTGAATAATTGTAATGCAAACAAAATTAAAACCGTATCATTTTCCCAAGACAAGAAGCAACACCATTTTTTACTTCTGTTTGTGAAGCACACAATGGGAGACTTTGCGGTTAATCTGTTTTACGTGTGTATGCATGCATGTCAGTTCCATGGATATCTCAAGAACTGCTTGTCAGATTTTACTGAAATTTAGTACCGTAGATAGTGCACAGACCTGATTAGTTTTGGGTAAAAAGGCCATGCATATTACTGTACTTAATTTCGAAAAGACTTGGTATACAAGTGTCCCGGGG